ACACACACACACACACACACACACACACACACAAAAAAAAAACGCACACACGCATTGCATTCGCCCCATTGAATGCCCCAGCGCCACCGCTCGCAGGCGCTCCCCACGCCCATTCCCGCGCGCTCCCCACGCGCTTCGTGGCCCCATGCGGAGTCCCACCGAAGGCCGCAGCGCCGCCGCCAGCACGCGCCCCCCACGCCCAGTTCGGCACACCACTCGCACAGTTCGCGGCCCCACATAGAGTTCCACCGAGGGCCCCAGCGGCGCCGCCCGCGCGCACCACCCGCCCAGTTCCACACGTCTGCCAAGGAACCACCCGCGCACATGTCTGCCCACCCCTCAAACGCCCAGCCGTCCCGTAAGGAACTCTACCGAAAGCTTCAGCGCCACCGCCCGCGCGGACCCCCCCGCGCATTTCGGCGCGCCCCTCGCGCGCTTCGCTGCGCCACGAGGATCACTGCCGAAGGCGCCAGCGCCGAAGCACGCGCGCGCCCCCCGCGCCCTTTTTCGGCGCCAACCCCCACAGACACACACGCATGCACGCAAACCAAACCCACGCACGCGCACACATGCACGCGCGCACGCACGCACGCACGCACACACACACACACACAAGCACACACACACACACACACGCACGCACGTACGCACACACACACACACGCACACACACACACGCACGCACGCACACACACACCACACACGAACACACACACACACACACACGCCACGCACACACACACACACACACACAACACACAGCACGCGCACGCGCACGCGCACGCGCACACGCACACACAAACACAAAACGCACGCCACACACACACACACACACCACACAACACAACACAACACACACACACACACACACACACGCACGCACGCACGCACAACCCCCCCCCAACCCACCCACCCGCACGCACGCACGCACGCACGGACGCACACACACACACACACACACAGACACACACGCCCCGCCAACGCCCGCTCCATTTCCTGCACGCGCACGCACGCGCGCACCTCACGCGCTGCGCTGCCCAAGGGGGAACTCCGCCGACAGCGCCAAGCGCCGCCCCCCCTGCGCGCGCCCCTCGCACGCGCGCAAAGTCCCGCGCAACCCCCGCGCGCTCCCCCGCCCCAATAGGGCGCTCCACCGAAAGCGCCAGTGCCACCGCCCGCGCGCGGCCACCGCGCCCACATCGGCACCCCCCCACGCGGTCCGCGCCCCCCCCCAAAAAAAAAATGCCTCAGTGTTTATGCGCCCGCGTCGCCGTGGCGTTCCTGGCGTGGGCCTCGGCGTCGGCGCGGGCCCAATGAAACGCGCGCGGGCGCGTGGTCGCTAGGGGCGCGACGGAGAAAAAATGCTACAGCGGCGCCAACGGGCGGCATGTACTTTCGACGACCAAGAAAACAGCCCCGAAGCATCCGAAACGAAGGCGGTTTGATCTCCATTCTGTCACCGCTGAGGGATTGCCGCAGCGCCCAGGCAAACGCTGCGGCCCGCGTCGCTTGCATTCCAGGGCACACGCCCTGCGCGCGGGCGCGTCGCGCGCTGAGCCGCTCGGCTGGCGCGCGGCAACTCCGCGCTAACTTGGAGGTCCTAGCGGCCACAACTAAAGGGCCGCTCTAGATTGCGGGCCAACGTGGCGACTTTCCGAATTTGACAACGCACGCCGCCTGCGCGCGCCGCTCCACCCCAAACTGTTGCAATTCAGGGTTCACTTTAGCGCCCAGGCCAGCGCTGCGACTGGTCGAACTTGACAGCGCAGAAACCAGCAAGCGCGCGCAGGTGGCGCGCGCCACTCGCGCGCGCGCCGCTCTGAGACCGCCTCGGGCCCACTTCGGTTTTCACGACGCCATGCGCACTTTCTAAATCTGAGAACGCGTAGAGAACGACTTCAGGCTCCCATCGGCAACCGTTAAAGGCCCATTCGGGTTGCCAGGCCACCATGCCCCGAACGCGCGCAAGCCAGAACACCCCACGCACGCGGGCGGCACGCGCCACCCGCGCGCGCCACTCGGCAACCGCCAAGGGCGCAATCGCGCGCCAACATGCGCACGTTACATATGTTCGCTTGCGTAGAGAACGCATGGCAGCTTCAAACTCCGATCGGCAAGCATTAGAGGCCAAGTTGACGCCCCAATGTGCCGCGCATGTTAATATATATATATATATATATATATATTATTCCTCCCCCTTTCCTTCTTTTTTATACCGAGCTGCCAGCGCAGATGTCTTCGACGCTCGCTGGCGACATGCGTCGCCCGCGCGCGCCGCTCGGTGGCCGCTCGGGGCCAACTAGGGCTTCCGCGCCAGCACTCGTGCTTCCTAGATGTAAGAGAACGCAGGAAGCGCATTTGAACTTCAACATATGATTGGCAGCAATTGAAAGTTTCTGGTTGGTTGCCCTGTCAGCGCGGGCACATTTCGAATGCGACGCGATTGAGCACGCCCATGCGCTGGCCACGCGCGTCACCCGCGCGCGATCCTCGGCGACCGCCACGGGCTCACTTGAGGTACCGCGCCAGCATGTGAGCGAAGTGTAGTCGAGAATGCGTTGAGAGCGCATCCTGGCTTCAAAATCCAAACGGTCACCGTTAAGGGTTCATTTCAGTTTCCGAGTCATCGTGACGACTTTTGGAATGATGGCAATACAGAAGTCACCGCGCGCGCGGGTGACACCCGCGCGGATGACACGCGTCACCCGCGCGCGCCGCTCGTGGCCGCAACGGGCCCACTAAAGTTTCCACGCCAACATGCGCGCGCCCTGTTTCTGGAAACGCGTGGAAGCGCATGTTAAGTTCAGAATCCAATCGGCCACCGTTAAGAAATAAGTTCAGTTCCTAAGCCAAGTTGGTGACTTTTGAAGTGGTGGCAATGCAGAGCTCACCGAGCGCGCGGGTGGCACGCGTTACCATTGCGCGCCGCACGGTGGCCGCGACGGGCCCACGAAAGTTTTCACGCAACTATGGGTGCGCCCTGTACCTGGAAACGCGTGGAAAGCGCAAGTTACGTTCAAAATTCAAACGGCAACCGTTAAGAGTGCATTTCAGTTTCCAAGCCAACATGGCGACTCCTTGAATGATGGCTAACTCACCACGCGCGCGGGTGACGCGCGTCACCCGCGCGCGCCGCTCGGTGACCGCTGAGGGTCCACTAGAGTTGCCACGCCAACATGCGTGCGCCCTTTATGTTAGAAAGCGATGAGAAAAACGCATGCCAACTTGAAAATTTAATCGGTCACCGTTACGGGTTCACTTTACCATCCCTGCCAACATGCCGATGTTTCGAATGCGTCGCTTCTGAATTCTTTCAAGCGCACGGTCCACACGTGTCAAGCGCGATCGCTGCTCAGTGACCGCTGAAGGTCCACTGGAGATGCCGCGTCAACATGCGAGTCTGCTACGTACCCTGACCTCCACCGTCATGAGTTTCTCACGACGTCCTGAAACGTCATGAGTCTAACTCACGACGCCAGAGAAAACTCACGACATCGCGAAAAACTCAAGACAACGCATCAAAATTATTATGATAGTTCAAAACAACCAAGATAATGAAAAACATTGTTGTCTTCATTAAACAAAATGGCGAACCCAATTAGTTCGAAACAAAACTGTCGTTGTGGCTGGAGTGGCACAGATATTCGTGTTGGGCCTGTAGTTGTAGCATTGGAGCTCTTGCGAGAACTTTGGGGGCCCTCGGAGCCTTTAACTGCGGGAGCACCGCGCGCGCGCGCTTCCTAGATTCAGTTTTGTAATATAAAATTTTGGAAAAAAAACCGACGCGTTCCTTCGGCCTCCTTAAAGGGCCCCAGAAATTTTCGAATTCGTTTTTGAAATTAAATGTAGATGTATTAATGGTGAATAATATACAGGCGAAGCTTAGCGGAGCGCCGCCGCGCGCGCGCGCGCGCGGCTAAACTTAGCCTGTGTATTATTGGCGATTAATAAATCTACGTTGAATTCCAAAAACGAATTCGAAAAATTCTGGGGCCCTTTAAGGAGGCCGAAGGAACGCGTCGGTTTTTCCATATTTCTATAATATCTACTATCACTACTACTACTACTACTACTACTACTACTACTACTACTACTACTACTATTACTACGACTGTATAGGAAGCGCATGCAAACTTAAAAACCCAAGCGGCCACATTTACAAGTCCATTTCAGTTTCCATATTAACATTGCGACTTTTAGACTACTAGCAAAACAAAACTCTCCATGCACGCGGGCGGCGCGCGTCACCCGCGCGCGCCGCTCGGTGACCGCCGCAGCGGGCCCACTTTCCACGACAACATGCGAGTGCTCTGCATTTGAGAAAACGTAGAAAGCGCACGTTAACTTCGAAATCCAATCGGCCACCGTTAAAGGCCAGCTTAAGTTTCCAGACCAAGATGGCGACTTCCCCAGGTCGACAATACAGAACTCTTGAAACGCGCGCGGGTGACACGTGTCACCCGCGCGCGCCGCTCGGTGACCGATAAGAGCGTGCACGACAGCATGCGTGCTTTATATATGCGGGAAAACGTAGAAAAACGCATGTTAACTTCAATATCAAAGCTGCCGCCGTTATAAAATCGTTTTGGCCTTCAGGCCAACGTGGCGACGCGTCATGAAACGCGCAATCAGGCGCGCCCTGTGCTCGCTCATTGACCCTCCCCCCGAGGGAGTGCTGGAGGCCTTCCGTGCCTCTCGCCCCCGCAAGCCCCGCAGACCCGTCGGGGGTTCGCGAATGGTCCGCGGGGAGGTCCGCCAAGGCCTCCTGCGCAGACAAACGCACGTGCACACACATATGCAAATATATACACATATTGCCATATTCATAATATTATTATTATATATATATATACACATATATGTATGTTTCTATATATATATGGTCGATCCCCCCCAGCGACCCCCCAGAGCGCCCAAAGCACGAATGCGCAACTCAACTTTGGCCTGCCATCCAGGCTGACGAACTCATCCGCTCGGCCCATCCGTCACGGGCACCGTGCGCGCAAGCATATCAGTTTCGGCCCAGGCCACGAAACGCTATGTATCACATGTTTTTTCTGGTTTTTCTGGTCTGGGAACCAACGAAACACTGCGTATCACAAGTTTTGTTGTTTTTCTGGTCTCTGGAGCTGAAATGCTCGCCGCGGCCTCGCCCCACCGCTCCCCCACCTCCTGTTTGTCGGCACCTGAAAACTAGAAAAACCAAAAAAACTTGTGATATACAATGTTTCGTTGGTTCCCAGACCAGAAAAACCAGAAAAAACATGTGATGCACAGTGTTTCGTGGCCTCCGAGCAAGAAAACACTGTGTACTCTTCGGGGGCTACAGCGCTCGCCGCTCACTGGCAGTGCTCCTTGAGGCAGGCCTCCTCCAGCTCTCCTGTTCCCAGCCACAAATCCTCGCCCCTGGCGCCCAAAGCACGAATACACAACTCAACTTTGGTCTGCCATCCAGGCTGACGAACGCATCCGCTCGGCCCATCCGTCACGGGCACCGCGCGCGCAAGCATATCGGTTTCGGCCGAGGCCACGAAACACTGTGTATCACACGTTTTTTTCTGGTTTTTCTGGCCTGGGAACCAACGAAACACTGCGCATCAAAGGTTTTTCTGTTTTTTCTGGCTTCTGGAGCTGAAATGCTCGCCGCGGCGTCGCTCCACCGCTCCCCCACCTCCTGTTTGTCGGCGCCTGAAAACCAGAAAAACAAGAAAAACATGTGATATACAATGTTTCGTTGGTTCCCAGACCAGAAAAACTATAAAAACTTGTGATACGCGGTGTTTCGTGGCCCCCGAGCAAGAAAACACTGTGTACTCTTCGGTGACTACAGCGCTCGCCGCTCACTGGCAGTGCTCCGTGAGGAAGGCCTCCTCCAGAATCCCCCCTGTTGCCAGCCGCAAATCCCCGCCCCTGGCGCCCAACGCACGAATCCACAACTCAACTTTGGCCTGCCATCCAAGCTGACGAACTCATCCGCTCGGCCCATCCGCCACGGGCACCGTGCGCGCAAGCATATCGGTTTCGGCCGAGGCCACGAAACACTGTGTATCACATGTTTTTCTGGTTTTTCTGGTCTGGGAACCAACGGAACACTGCGTATCACATGTTTTTCTGGTTTTTCTGGTTTCTGGAGCTGAAATGCTCGCCGCGGCATCGCCTCACCGCTCCCCCACCTCCTGTTTGTCGTCGCCTGGAAACCAGAAAAAACCTGTGATATACGATGTTTCGTTGGTTCCCAGGACAGAAAAACCAGAGAAACCTGTGATGCGCAGTGTTTCGTGGCCTCCGAGCAAGGCTCTGGTTCTGGTTCTGGTTCTGGTTCTGGCTATGGTTCTGGCTCTGGCTCTGGCTCTGGTTCTGGTTCTGGTTCTGGTTATGGTTCTGGCTCTGGTTCTGGTTCTGGCTTTGGTTCTGGTTCTGGCTCTGGTTCTGGCTCTGGTTCTAGTAGAAGCAGAGGCGAGGGGGGAGATGGAAGAGGAGGGGGGGATGAGGGGGAGTAAGATGAGGAGGAATACGTCTCGGGTCACAGCCCCGCTGTGACGACAGCATACGTGCTTTATATATGTGGGAAAACGTAGGAAACGCATGTTAACTTCAATATCAAAACTGTCGCCGTTAAAAAATCGTTTTGGCCTTCAGGCCAACGTGGCGACGCGTCATGAAACGCGCAATCAGGCGCGCCCTGTGCTCGCTCATTGACCCTCCCCCGAGGGAGTGCTGGAGGCCTTCCGTGCCTCTCGCCCCCGCAAGCCCCGCAGACCCGTCGGGGGTTCGCGAATGGTCCGCGGGGAGGTCCGCCAAGGCCTCCTGCGCAGACAAACGCACGTGCACACACATATGTAAATATATACACATATTGCCGTATTCATATCAGTATTGTATATATACATATATGTATGCTTCTATATATATATATATATATATATATATATTCACACCTATTCATACATACACAACACCACGGCGGCGCACCTCGCAGACATACACCTCGCGCGCCATAAACATACACACACCAAACACACCACACATACGTACACACATCACCATCCACACCGTGCATACACACCACAATACATACACACATACATACCTATATACATACATACATACATACATACATATTTACTTACTTGGAAACAAACGTGCGGGCATGCTGCACGCATGCGTTCGTGCATGCGCGCGTACATGCATGCATGCATGCATACGCACTCGCACACACATGCACACAAACACCATAAACACCACACACGGATGGGGTGGCGAGAGGGAGGGGAGGAGGACGTGGGAAGAGGAGGAGGGGGGAGGACGGATAAACCTCTGGGGAGGATCATTTAGCAGGAGACGGGGGAGTGGAGTTTCCTCGCGCCATGGGCCTCTTTTATAACGGGGCAGCGGATCTTTGTTTCAACGTTGCACATGGATGCACGCATCCTCGTTGGTCAGTTTCATTATCGGATGTTTTGTCGCTGCGGTTGCCGTGGCGCACATACAGTGCAGTGCCTGTTGGACAAAGTTGCATATGACTTTCGGGTGGCTGCAGAGGGAACGTGGCCTGCCACCGACTCTTCTGGCAAGGCTTGGCCCGCGGACTCGGTGCGGAACCGCATGGCGGGCCGCCCGCTGTATCCATCCACGCTTGGCAATTGCCGCGTTGTCTTGGTTGAGGTCGCTGCAGACCTCGACGAGATGTGTAAAACCCTGGGGCTCCCCGACTATCGGGGTAACCATGGCTGTCTGCGCTGTTTTTCGCATAAAGAAACATTCGCAGACCTGGGGGCGCCCCTGCGCAAACGGAAGCACCAGTGGCTCTTGGACACTGCTCGGACGTCGCTGTCCTTCCATCGAGTGAACGATGAAGACGTGGAGGAACTGCGCGACAATACTTGCATCAAGAGGAAAAAAGGCGGCGTCGTGGTCACATCCTTGATGAGGGACACGTTTCCGTTGCTGAAGCGGGGCGACCGCGTCGAGCCTGTTCTCCCAGGACAGCCAGATGTCTGGCACGGTGAATCTTGCAGGGACTACGCGCCGAGGGATCGACGCATGATGGTGTACAGGCGCCCTGCGAACAGCTTGCTTTTTATCAACCGACTCTTTCACGTGCCAGGCATACAGCCTGGCATCCCAGGCCTGACGATTGACCACTTCTTGTTTGACTCAATGCATTTTGCTGATCTGGGAATATTGCATTACTATATGGGCGCAGTGCTGTGGAGATTGATTGATTTAGGGTTCTTCGGCGAGTACTCGCCGAACGACCATGACGAAGTTGACAATGCAATGAACGAGGCCCTGAAAAAATGGTATATTAGATTCCAAGTTCCTTCTGCGGATCGCCAGTTGGGACTTAGCTCGAAGATGTGCGGTTCTAGAGATGACCCCCTGCTGAAATTGAAAGCTGGCAAATCACGGAAACTTCTGCCGTTCCTCGTGCACCTGCTGCGGGACCAAGGCGGCCAGGAGCTGCTGGACGACGATGCCCCCGCGGAAGCCGATGGCTCCAAGTTGCTCGCCGTCGGGGCTGGACTGATGGAGTACTACGACATACTGCACGGCCAGCCCCGTAGGATGGACGAGCTGGCCGTGGTGCATTTAGAACACGTCGTGAAGAGCACGATGACTGCGTGGATTGCCTCGGGCCGCAAGGTTGTGATGAAATTCCACATATTTGCGCGGCACATTGCCAGCCAGGCCCGGTGGGCTGGCAACCCTGGCTATTCGCACAACTACAGAGACGAATCTGAAAATTTCGGCACACGCAAGAGGTCGACGAATATAAACCGTGCGAAGTTTGCAGAGAATGCGGCAGTGAAGTGGTACATGCAGTACCTCCTGATGCGCAAATGAGAGAAATGCCCCCAGTAGGAGGTGGAAGGATGAGAGGTAGGGAGGTGGGAAGGAAACGAGGGGAGACCCCGACGACAGCGAGCTAGGGCCCACCCCTGCCAGGCCAGCAAGGGGTTTCTTGAGACCAACTTCGGGATTCCCTTGCGCCACCCTTGGCGCCACTCTTGTGGCTGCTCGTGGGCCCTCGCGGCTTGCTTGTTCGGCTGAGAGTGTGCTTCATTGTGCCCTCTCTTTCTGGCGCCATCTTCTGGCGTTCTTGGGGCGCCTCTCGGGTCCCTCCTATGCCTCTGCCTGGAGTCTGCTTGGGGCTCCTTGGGCCACGCTTGGGCCTCCCCTTGGAGCCTCTCTAGGGGAACTCTTTGGCTGTTCTTGGGTGCCCCGTTGGCCTTGTCTTGGGCTCCGCTTGAGGTGCGCGTGGGCTCGTTTTAGGGCTGCTCGTCCCTGGGATCTCACAATTCCTGGACTGGTCTCGCAATTCCTGGACTCATGTTCGGTGTGTTGCATGATTGTGTATTGGCTTGTATTGTGTTCCGTTGGGTTGCGTTCCGTTGCAGTTGTGGTCATTGGCCTACGTTGCGTTGGTTTGCATTGCAATGTAGTGTTGTGCATGTGTGTTGCTAACTTGTTCGTGTGATGCTTCTGGCCGCCATGGGCCCGCATGTGGCTTGAGTGCATGGCGATGCGTTGCACTGCGCTGCCGTGTTGGTCACTCCATTGCGTTCACTGGTGTGCATAGCAACGCAGTTCACATTATGCAGGTATCAGTGCCAGCAGCTCGTATATGCCCTGTCAGCGTTATAGAAAGAAGAAGAGTTGTCTTCGCTCTTCGATCTGATATTTTTCGATCTGATATTCTTGGTTCAGAAGAGTTGTCGACACGCTTTTGGCGCGTCGTGGCCTGCTCGTTTGGAGTTGGCTGTTGGTGACGGGAGATTTCTTCAATAGCATGGTGTTCAGCGTTATAGATGCATGATGCGCCATGATCAACACAGTTGTGAGTAACAGCTCCAGCGGCGATGCGACCCTGTCAAGAGATGGGGCTGACTAGAGCCTCCACGCGCGAAACGCGCAAGTGGTTCTAGTGCATACGTGCAAAAAGAGGATGGGGGGCCTGAAATATAGAAAGAGGTACAACGAGAAACACAATCTAAACAAGGAAACGTTCGAGAACGGTGTACGTACATAGGCCGTAGTTGTGCACATTACATATATACACATATATGTAAATATGTATGCCAATAGTTGCATGCGCGTATACATATATATATATATATATATGATATATATATACACGGGTAAGTATCGAGCGAGAGGGGTGGAGACGGTTCCAGGTGGCCAGAGGGCTCCACCAGGAGGCGCCGAAGAGGCCACCATCCTCCAAAAACCTATAACGGTGATCAATGTGTGTTATGTTCTCGCCTTGCCGCTTCCGATGACCATCCGAGGCACCAGGGCGGCTCCAAGATGGCCCAGGAGGACCCCAAGAGAAGCGCAAGGGAGCCCCAACACGGCCCCCAAAGCGCCCTACGAAGCGATGCGTGGGGCCCCCGATGGGATAACGCTAGTTGGAGCCCACCTCTGGTGTGACCGATGCCGCCCAATATGGATCAAATAGGGCGTCCGAAGCCTCCAAGACAGCTCCAAGAGGCCACCAAGAGGCCCTAAGAGGCCCCAAGAGGCTCCACTATGGCCCTGATAGACCCCCAAGAGGCCCCCAAGAGAATCCCAAAGCTGCCCCCAGAGGCGCACGCACACCCATTGAGGCACCTAATGCGCCCAAGAGCCCCCCTGGGCCACCAAGGGGCCCACGCCCCAAGAGTTACCCCAAGAGATTCAGAGAGGCACCCCAGAGGCCTCTAGCACTGTTGCTCGCCCTCCTCCATCTTCCTCCTCTTTATCCTTCCCCTCCTCATCCTAGTCAGCATCATTTGCCTCAGCCCATCCATCCATCCTCCTTCTCCTCCTCCTCCTCCCTTCCTTGGGACCTGAAACGACGGGCCCCTGTGTGTACCGTAGCAGTTTTCAGGCTAGCGGATTGCACGCAAGCCACTGCAGACGTATCTCTAGCAAGCTACAACCGACCAGCGAGCGATGGCAGCTCGCCCGCGCCTGCATCTAGGCGCCAAAGGGGACTTCCCCAAGATGCGGGGCAAGTCGACGCTCCACCTGCAGGAGGTAGGAGACTACCAGTATGTGCTCGAGCAGGGTGCCAAGAACCTGCGAGCCTCGGCCAAGTACGCGACGGACTTGACGGGCGAGCTGAGCGACACGATCCAAGAGCTGATCCAAGTGAAGGAGGCGATCAGCATGAGCAGGATCCGCACTTCCACGTACCAGCTGAAGAAGGATGTGGCCCTCGCGCAGAGGATCGCCTTGACGGAGACGGAAGCCATGCTGACAGAGAAGGTGAACAACATCGACCAGGCGCTGATTCACCTGCTCGAGGCTCAGGCTCGCATCAACATGTGTGCCTACGTCCAGCCCATCCTCCCGAACAAGCGTGAATACCTGAAATACCAGCTGGACGAGCGATCGCTCATCATTCGCCCTGCCCTTGACGAGAATGACCCGACTACGTGGAAGTACTACGTGGATGACGTGCCGAACAACTTGCCCTGGGACCCTGAGGACCCTGAGACGTGGAAGAACTACGGCTGGATCGAGAACAACTTGCCTTGGGACCCCGAGGATGAAGAGACGTGGAAGAACTACGGCTGGCGTGACTTCAGCAAGCTCAAGCCCTTGGACCCGAACGATCCGACTACGTGGGGACCGTACGGCTGGATATTCTACGACGACGTTGCCACCAACCCAGGGACGCTCGAGCAGAAGATGGTAGAGCACACCCTCGCTACGATCGAGGAGGTGGAGGTTCACCAGAACCCGACCGACAGCCCCAGCCACACTCCGCCTCTCGAGGAGTTCTTCCCTCCACGTGGCAAGAAGAATGAGGACGTATACAATTCGGCAGCCAGCTTCACCAACACGGGGGCGTCCAGCAGCACGGACTAGAGGCACAGTACACGACGGTGACATAAGAGACGGCTTTCCTTTTTTTGCACGTTTATTCGATTGAACGGGGAGTCGAAACCACTCGACCGATGCACGACCTTGCCGCTCTCGCTCATGATTACTGGGCCAGGTCACGCAAAATGTGCTGGATAAAACAAATACGGACAACCAGGGTACATACGATAGTGGAAAATATACCTCAGGAGTTGCCCTTATGAGAGCCCGAGCTATACCACTACTTCCATGCCAGTGCAGTGCCAGCCACCGTGCCAGTGCAGTGCCAGCCACCGTGCAGTACCAGCACTACCTATATAGGGTGAGCTACCGTGCCAGTGCAGCCAATTAGCGATAGTTAGCGGGGGGTGGGAGGAGGAGGGGGGGGTCGAGGAGAGGAGCGAGGAGCGGTGCGGCGAACGGCGTTCTCGAAGTTCGAGGGCCGCGGCCGCCCCCGCCCCCGCCCCCAGCTACCGCCGCTGCCGCTGCCGCAGTAGTAATACGTAAATTGCTATGAAAAGCCTATAGATATAAACATGAAAGAAAAAATCAAGACAATAAAGACAGAAATAAAGAATGAAACAATATGTTTACCAGTGGAAATATAAGTTATGGTATAACATCTTTCTCATAATTACAAATTATTGTTTTATTACTGGTTTCCAGTATGTATCAGGTGGTGAAATTTTTTGTATTACTTGAAATCGTTTATACAAATCTCCCCTCCCCTCCCTCCCTCGCCTTGCGTCCTCCCCCTCAGGGGTCCCGTGCGCAGGGAGGTTAGATTAGGTCCTAGCTGCTGCTGCTGCCGCGGATCTCTCCCCGAGCGACTTGTCCTTGTCCTTGTCCTCCTCCCTTCCCCTCCCCTCCTCTCCCCCCTCTCCACTCCCGCCGTTCCGTCCTTTCCCTGCCTTCTCCCCTCCCCTCCTCTTCGCAGCGGCCCGAGCCAGATGAATATCTGGCTGCTGGAGTGGGAAACTGGGGAGGATGCCCTGGCGGTCGTCCTCCCTACGGAACCGCCAGGGCTCCCCCCCCCCCAGCTGGGCTGTGCCCACCGCTCCGCCCACGCGCTTTTTCGACCTGCCCACCCTGGGGTTGCCCGCCGCGCGCCCGCCATGGGCTGCGCGGCGCGTGTGCGTGCGTGGGTTTGGTCCGTGGCCCCTGTGGTGGTTCTACCCGCCACGGGGGTCGCGCCCGCCCCACTGGTGGCTGCGGACGCCGTGCTCACCCGAGCACTTCTGGGGGCAGATCGGCACGCCCCACGCGCTCGCGCTTGTGTGGCTCGAGGCGGACGCGTGCGCCTGGGCAAACCAAAGACACGTTTGTTGTGGGCTTCAGTTTTTATATATATATATATATAAAAAAAAATGTGCTCAATGTTATCTCATTGTTTTTGGGGGGTCCCCCTTTTCGCTGATTTTTCGCGTGTGCTTCAACGAAAAAACGCGCATCCCAGGTACCACTACGTGTGGTACGACCAACACGAAGACTACGCAGTGCTCCGCGCAGCGTGAGGCCTTGCCCCGTGCATGCGGGGGGGCTTGCTACTTTTGCGTGTTCCTCCTCTCTCACCCTTTTTCCTCGCCTCCCCCTCTTCCGTTTCGCGCTTCTCTTTCTGTGGCTGGCCGCTCACGAAACCACCCGTCCAGGTCCAAGGAGGTGTTAAAACCCGTCGTCCTCATTATTTTTAACAAAAAGACGAAACTTTGCGGGGTGGGCGGCAGGCTGGTCGCGGGTGGGTCGCGGCGCGCGGTCGCGGGAAGGGGTGTCAGTTGGTCAGCACGAACCCGCACCTGGCGGCGGAGATGGGGGGAAGCAAGAAGAGAGGGCCGAGCAAGGGAGAAAACCATGAGCGAAGGAGGAAAACGGAGAGGAACGGGCCGAGTCGGGAACCAGGAAAGGGGCGGAGGCAAGAAGGGAAAGGAGGGGCAGAGGAACACAGGGGCGAGAACTGTGCGAAGTGGGGCGCGGGGATGGGGCGAGTCGGGGGGGGC